ACTAGGAGGACATTATTTTGCCATATTCCATTTGGCCACAACAATTTCGTGGATTTATCATATAGGACAGCTATAACGAATGATTTGTTCTTTCAAGGACTTCACAATGAAGAAGAAATATCTCTCCAGGTTGATCTTGTTTCAGGGTGTCAACTATTATAACATTCGCGATATACTGCCCATCTACGTCAGAAGTCTCATCCAAGGAAACCCATATCGTCTTGTCAGAAACAGATGTTCAAGTCTTTTTTAACATACGTGGGGCAATCCAAAAGTTACCAAAATTTGAATTTTGCGTGTGAATGGTTATGAATACATCAAAATACCGCTAGGTGTCTCCACACATCCTTCTTGAATCAGTGTGGCAAGCGGCGTCGAGTTGAGTGGTTGGGTTTATTGTTGGTGAACGTATTTCCATTGTTGTGTTTCCCTGAGTTTGCGGTTTTGCGATGGCTGACCTGAGAGAGCAGCATGTCTGTATAAAGTTTTGTTTCAAACTTGGGAAAACTGCTGCAGAAATGCACCAAATGTTGAAGCAAGCTTTTGGTGAAAACAGTTTAAGCCAGTCACAAACTTACAACTGGTATAAGCTTTTTAAAAATGGCCGAACATTGAGTGATGATGACGATCGTTCGGGACGGCCGTCGATGGGCAAAACCCCAAAAAATGTCGCGAAAGTTAGGGATCTGATTCTGCAAGATCGTAGACTGACCATCCAAGACCTCTGTAACACCTTGGGACTAAGTTATGGTACATGTCAACGAATTTTGTCAGAGGAACTGAACATGAGGATTGCGGTGAAGTTTGTGCCACGACTGCTGCAAAATGAACAGAAGCAGCATCGCTTGGAAGTCTGCAGGGAACTTCAGCAACAGCTTCAAGAAGAACCAAACTTTCTTTTGAAGGTTGTCACTGGTGTCGAAAGTTGGGTTTATGGCTACGACCCTGAAAGCAAGCAGCAATCATCGCAATGGAAGAGCCCTTCTTCACCTCGGCCAAAAAAAGCTCAACAAGTCAAGAGCAACATTACGTTCATGTTGATCTGTTTTCTTATATTGACGGGATTGTTCATAAGGAGTTCGTCCCTCCTGGTCAGACATTCAATAAAGAGTTCTATCGCGATGTTCTAAGGTGTTTGAGGGAGGATATGAGGAGAAAACGTCCAGAGAAGTGGCAAACGAATGACTGGGTACTCCACCATGACAACACATGACCACATACGGCTTACATTGTGCAGGAATTTTTGGCTAAAAACAAGATGGCAGTTGTTCCCCACCCAGTGTACTTGCCAGACTTAGCTCCATGCGACTTCTTTCTCTTCCCCAAGATGAAAATCAAATTGAAGG